ACTACTTGGTTGGCAGGAGCTGGGGAAAGGAATGGGAGCTCATCCCACCGGGTGGCGCTGGGTCTCAAACCTGGGCTTTCTGATTTCCGGCTTTTATCTGTCTTTTATCGCCGAGTCATCACGCCCCCCTTTTCTCTTGGGAAATGGTGACAATTAGCTAACGCTCTCCCAAGTGAGGGCCGACCGCTGCGCTCACCTGGATGCTGGCCTCTTCCTCCTCACGCGGAGACTGCGCTGGCATCACCTCGGCGTCTGAATTGTCCGAAGAAGGGTTCCGTTTCCGTTTCTTCCCCACAACTGGCGTGATCGTGCTGGGGAAAAGGAGACAGTCACAAATGGAAATGACCTAGATTTCCTTCCTTTGAAAAGGAAGACACCCCCTCCCTCCCGAAAATGTTCTGTGGCTGTTTACCTGGGTTTCCCGCGTCCTTTGGTCTTGCCGGATCCCCCCTGGCCCCTGCCCTTGCGCGGCCGGTCCTCTTTGGGGATGCGCTCGCCCCCGCCCTTCCGGCGCCGCTTGCGTTCTCCCGTCTCTTCTGGCCGAACGCTGGGCAGCTCGTCCTCGTTCAGCACCCGGGGGATGTTCTGCTCGCCCCGGGCTCGGGCCCGCGCGATGGCCTCTGCCACGATCCGGTTGGCCTTCTCCTGCTTCTTCTGATGCTCCAGCTTGCGGGATTCGTCCGAGCTGCTCCGTGTTGTGCCGCTGGAGGACGGGAGGGCCGCCACCTCACTGCTGCTCAGCACCTTCACCACCGAGAGTCCCGAGGAGCTGCCTTGGGACGAGCTGGCCTGCAGAGAGTTACAGAATTAGAAGTCATCTTGAATGAAACTTCCGGGTTCTCTCCAGATATGAGGCTGGTATTCACAAGATGGAACCCACTACCTGAAGGTGGGAAGATGGGGAGAGGTCCCCGAAACTGAAGACCTAAAGACTCTTACTAAAGGCTGGTACTTTGCTCAATAATAGTAACTGTGAGAGGGATCTTGGAGTCCTAGTGGACAACCATTTAAATAGGAGCCAGCCGTGTGCAGCAGCTGTCAAAAAAGCCAACACAGTTC